TCCCGCACCTGAGCATCCCAGAAAGCGTCGTCCTTCATGAAGTCGTGCTCCTCGTCGATGCGGTCGTCGTAGCGGATGGCCGTGCCTCCAGCAGACTCCCAGGCACGAGAGAGCATGCAACCGCCCTCCTCCTCGACACCTGATATGACCTCGACCAGCACGCGGCCGCGCAGCGGAAGGTCAGCAAACGCCGCCAGGACGGCGGCCTCGACTGGGTCCTCGGTGGTTGTGTCATGGCCATTGCACCGCCAGCACTCTACCCCGGACCCGCTGCGCCGGACGAACGTACAGTCCTTGCAGAAGTCGCTGGCTGGGACCGGAGTGTCTCGCCCAGGCCTCCAGATGACCGTGCCCTTGCAGCCGAAGTTGGGCTTGGCTGGGTGCACGTACAAGGTGAAGTCCTCGTGGGGATCTCCATGATGCCGAATGCGACCGTGCCCTCGGAGATCGCCTCTGCCGAAACGCTCGTCGACGTTCTCCGCCTCGTAGCCGGCAGCAAGGACCTCGGTGACGTGGGCCCAAGCCTGCTCCTCGGCCTTGCGGTGGCCTTCGGCATGAGCTGGACCTCCGGGTGGAACACCGCTGCGGCGGCAGCGATACCACATGGTCTGCCGCTCTCGGCCGTCCTTGAACAGGACCTTGCTGGTGTACTGCACCACGAAGTTCTCGCCGCGATCGTCGTAGATATGGGCCACGCGGTACGGCAAGATCTTGGGATCTTGAGGAGCACGCGGGTCGCCTCCAGCCCCAAGCGCCACGTGCGCCGCAAGTAAGAACTGCACCAAGTGCTGCTTCGGATAGATGCCGTCAAGCAAAGTCGGAACAACGGTGCACGGCGTCGCGTCCTGCTCGTCAGCTGGGTGTGAAACGTTGAATTGCAGAGATGTGCGTGAGCCCCGTGGACCGGAGCAGAACATGAACCCGTCCGTGGATTCCTCGAAGTCGTCCTGAATGCCTGCTCCATCCAAAGAAGTCGGCCAGGACGCTGACAGCTCCAAGCTGGTTGGCGAGCCTTCCGTAGCTCGCTGCTTCGTTGGCGTTGAAATCGAAGACGCCTTCACTGATGCGGGGTCCTTCCCGCTAGGCGTCGAAAGCGAGGCCGGGCCGGCAGGGCCGGGCACTTCGCCCACGGCGGCGGACCCTGCTGCCTCCTGGTCCGCCGTCGCTCCTGCTGGTGCGCAGGTGGTCGACGAGTTCTTCTCGCCCGTGGTAGTTGGTGCCGGCGTCGTCTCCGCTGGCTGCGGCTCGGTCCCGTCCAAGCCGTCGAGGTAGGCATGCATACGAGCGGCCTCCTCGTCGTCGTCAATCGGGGCCTCGAACATCTGCCTGATGATGCGCTTGACTGGCCCGCTTGGTACTGGTAGATGTCTGCAAACATCCCTGTCTTCGGGATTGCGTGAAGGGGCATCCCCCAGGATGTTCTCTTGCCCCTTGATCCAAATGCGCTGAATTCTGTCACCGAGTTCTTCCAGATCCACCGCCCATCGCAACAGCTTCTTGTTGACGCGTCTGTTCGCCAACAAGCTCCCCGTGAACAAGTTGTTCTTGTGGTCTGTGAGCACTATGATGCGGAAACCATTGGTGTAGGGCTCTGCTGCTGCCAGGCCTTCGCGAAGTCCATACAACTCCCGCTCGAAGCTCGACCAGGCCTGCTCGGTCTGCGACAGCGAACGCGAGAAAAATGCGATCGGTCGCGGGCTCCCTCCTTCGACAGCTCGCTGCGCAAGCACCGCGCCCCAAGCGTAGTCCGAGCAGTCGATGTAAAGCTCGAAAGGGCGGCCCGAGTCCACCTGGCCGGCAGCCTCGTAGTCCGGGACGTGCAGGATGGCGTCCTCGGCGACGGCGTTGCGCAAGTCGTCGAAAGCCTTCTGGGCCTTCTCGTCGGTGAAGTAGGTGCTGAACTTAGACCCCTTCTCGGTGCACGGCCTGAGGTGCTGGTCGTGCTCGTGAAAAACAGGCACGAACTCCTTGATGAAGTTGACGAAGGCGCGGAAGCTAACGATGTCGTCGACGCACTTGGGCGCTGGCCAGTTGCGCACCGCCTCGACCTTCTTCGGATCGACGCGACGGGCGCCGTTGCCAAGGACGAACCCGAGCAGCGGTACCTCCAGCTGCGCCCACAAGCACTTGTCAAGCTTGAACTGCACCCCTCTGGCCTCGGCTGCGGTCAGCAGGGCAACGAGGTGCTGGATGTGCCTGTCGACTATGTCGTCGTCGGCGGTCGCCCTCGTAGCCCTCCGTGCTCACGCTGACGTCGTCGATGAAGATGGCTGCGACCTCCTCGTCTCTCTCGTTCTTCACCTCTCCGAACGTGTCGTCCATGAAGCTCTGGAAGACGCCCGGCCCCTGCTTGGCGCCGACAAAGAGCACGCGCGGGCGCAACACCCGCGCCTCGTGACCAACTGCAAGAGCTCGGCCGTCGCGTCGTCCACCGCGATCTGCGTGAAGCCCCAGACGCAGTACAGGGCGCTGTGGATGGCGCCGCGCTGAGCACGCGCGAGGCACTTGGACGCGTTGGGCGAGGGCCACGGCGCGTCCAGCGTCTGGCTGTTGACATACCTGTAGTCACGCACCGCGCGACCCAGCAGGCCTTTATTCGACTGGTCAACCACGAACGACGGCGACCCCCACTGGCCTGCTTGCCCCGGCGGCACCCACTCTGCCTTGCCGTCCTCCACCTCGCAGTCCTCGTGAAACTCGAGTCGCAGCTGGTCGAACGCCGAAAGCGGGAAGGCTGCTGCACCTTTGGAACGGCGTCGTTCCTGACGTCGATGTGCGCGACGAAGTCCTTGAACTGAGGAGCGGCGCAGCCCAGCATCCAGAAGCACGCCGAGGAGGGCATGAGCACTTTCTGGATTTGCGCTGGGCCTACGTCAGCTGCTCGCCGATGTTCTTGTCGGCTGCCTTGGCCACCTCTGCCTTGTACTCCTTCGAGCGCTGGTCTGGCCACTTCTGGCCCGCGCGCTTCTCCTTCTCCAGCGCGATCTCCTCCTGCAGGTCGGGGAACAGCAGCTCCTTCTTCTGCTTCTGGCCTCTGGTTTTATAGCTTGTCTTGAGGAACTGCTCGGCCTTCTGCGCCCGGTTCGACACGCCCTCCTGCGTCGGGGCCACGGCCCGAGCGGCGTCGGCCCGCGCCTCCTCCAGCACGCAGAACCTCTCGTGGTGCTTCTTCTCGGCCTGGTTGACGTAGGCAAGCAGCTTGTCGTCCGCCTCCGTCATGGGCCTAGCCGCCACCAGCCGATCTCCAGGCCCTGCGCGAATCGAGCCCGACACCAGGAAGCTGGCGTAGCACTTGTTTCCCCGGCAAGCAATGGGGCCCTCGATCAGCTCCAGCTCGGCAGGCAAATCGGGGCCGGCCTCCAGCCACCACCGGTCCATCTGCAACTCCTCGGGGACGTCGACCTCGAGACTCCGCAAAGCCGAACGTTCATCAGGCGGCGGGGGGTCCAGATCACGTGGTCCGCGACCCTCAGGAACTTGCCACTCGAGTCGGAGACGTCGCCCTTGCAGTCGTCTGGCAAGACCGTGGGGAAACGCAACCCCGAGCGCCTGAGCTCAATCGCGTGCTTGTCGCTGATGAAGCCCGATTCGTCCAGGGTGGGCTTGCCGATCAGGATGTCCTCGCTGCTGTTGTCCACGATCACGAAGCCGAGTGCCTTGGTCATCTGCTGCCCTGACGAATCCTCCTTGAACGTGACGCGGACGAGCGCCATGTTGGTGATCGTGAACTCGTGGCCCTTCTGCATAGAGGTGCAAATCAACGGGCTGATGTCGAAGATGTCCTCCACCTGCGGGGCCGTCTCGGGATTCTCCAGGAGCGTCTTCAGGAAACGCTTGTCGATACTGTTCCTTGCGGCTCACGAGTCCCAGACGCTCTCGACCCTCGCAGGGCCGACCCACACGCAGCCTCGGCAATTGTAGCCACCCGGCAACGCCACTGGCGGCGGCGCACCAGCTTTCTTGGATCCCCCAGACTGGACAAAGAACTCCTCGCGGAACTTGCCGACCAAGAGCGAATCCAGCAAACGCAGGGCGGGACTGCGCTGATCCCCCGCGCCGTGGGCATCCGTCATGTCCAGGCGCTGCTCTGGCTTCGGCTGCTCCTTCCGCTCCTTCGCAGCCTCTGGGGTGAGGACTGGCTCATGGTGACGAGCGAGGTGGCCGAAGCCACCGCACCTCTTACTGGTCTTGAGGTGCCGGTACCAGCAGGGAATCTCCTCGCGGGCGCACTTGGCGACGTCGAAGTCCTCCTCGTTACTGGCGGCCGAGTTGGGGCACTCCCGGCATTCTGGATGGTTGCCGTGACAACGCGGGCAGTCGCCATCTCCTCCACGAGACTGGCCGCCTTTGCCGTCGGGTTTCCCCTTCTTGCCCTTGCTCTTGCCCTTGCCGCCTCTGTCGTCGCCCTGGCGCGCGGCCCTGAAGCGGCGCCCACCGTCCTCGAACGCGAGCGCCTCGTCCTGGTGCGCTGGCTTTCTCTCGTCGGCCCTCAAGAGGTTCTCCACCTTCTTCATCAGTTTCTTGTCCTTCGACGCCGCCTGCAGCTGCTCCTTCAAGAACGTCGCAGTTGGCCGATGACCGCCGTCACCGCCACTCGACCCAGCAGGCGGCAGGCCTGGTCGCCGGCGTGCCGAGACATACTGCCGCGCCCGGCCGATCAAGGTCTGCTTCGCCACGTCCGGGTTCTGACTGTCCACGAGCGTCGGGAACTCTGGCAGCTCCATCAGGCAGCGAAGGAGGTCCGTGCCCTCGATCTTGGAACGGATGTCCTCCATCTCGCGGGCGTTGGACTTGTCGTCGCCGTCGGTGATGAGGCCATTCTCGATCATCCTCGTCCTGGCTGCAATGCACTCCTGAACGAACGCGTCCACGGCGTCGGCCCCGCCACCTTTGGACAGCGAGACGCGACCGTAGACGCGGACGGCCTCGTTGAGCTCGTTACTGTCGTCGAGGCCGGCATCAAGCTTCAACCGCCTCTCGAAACCCGCCCAATGGCTGGCCCAGGAAGCGCCGTCGCCCGAGTCGACCGCCCGCTGGTATCCCGCGTCGTTGCCGAAGTGAATGATGATGTAGGACTCGATGCACGTCTTCGCGCGGTCCGTGGCGACGGCGCGGGCCCAGGTGAACCAGCGCACCATGTGCGAGAGCTTGCGGTCGTTCATGTAGAGGCGAAACTCGCGCAGCTCGTCGTGCAAGACCGCGGCCGAGGAAGCCGACAGCTTGGGCTTGTCGGCCTTCAGCCCCTTCCTGGAATCCAAAGCCGCGTCGTGGAGCTTCTTGAGGAGCTCGGCGTGGTTACCCTGGTTGGCGACCGTGGCCTCCGTGCGCCCAGCCACTGACGTGGCCACACCCTTGACGATCTCCTGGAGCGCGACCAGCTCGAAGTTCACCAGCCCTGTGCCAAGACCAGGCGGCCTGTCCTCGCCCTGGCGCGTCGGCGATACGCCGGCAGCAGGCGCGCTCGAAGCCGCTGGGCCTCTCGGCGTCGCTGGCTGCTGGTCCGCCTCGGCCGCCTCCTGGTGATCCTCTTGCTCCCACTCGTCTTCGTAGTAGCTGCGCTCGAGCTCGTCGTATGCCACCTCGAGCGCCGCGTCGTCCTCCTTCAAAGCCTCGATGGCCTCCTCGTCCTTGACAGACTTAGCCCTGAGCGCGGCGATCTCGCCCTCGCACACGTCGCCGGTAGCGCTGCTCTCGGCCAGCTCTGCCACGCAACGCCGAAGCTGGCCCACATCATGCTGGGCACGCCGCAACTCCGCGCGCAGCAGCACCTCTCGGTCGGCCATCTCCTGGATCTCCTCTTGGACGGCGCCAGCCAACGCGCACTCCTGCCGCTCCTGACGCCGGCACTCGTCAGTCTCGCGCCGGCACTCGTCAGCCTGGCGCTGGCGCTCCTCCGCCAAGCGCGCGGCGTCGTGGACCTCTCCGCGCAATCGACGCGCATCCTCCTGGCGATCGGCATCGTCACGAAGCACCTGACGTCGCACCTCGGCCACGGCATCCGCCTCCTCTCGCAGTCTCCGCTCGGCACTCCTCAGCTCGGCGTGCTCACCCTGGAGACGAAGACGATCACCTTCGTGCTGTTCACCACGTTGTCAAACCTGGTTATGCAGCACGGCGACCTCTGCCACCAAGTCGCGATGCTCACTTCAAGCACATGCCGCGCCCGTCGAAGTACTTCGCCTTCCGCACCGTGCTGCTGGGCCTCGTCCACCACACGCTGACGCAGCACGCCGATCTCAGCCACCTCCGAACGAACCTGGATCGCGCGGCCCAGCTCGCTCTGGATCTCGAAGTACTCGTCGCTCAGCATGGCCCTCGCACGCCGGTGCTCGTTCTCGGCACGGACGACCTGCTGCTGGAAAGTGTACTCCTCGCTGTGAGCTCTTGGGCTGCCGCCTGCAGCCTCATCTCTGCAGCCACAAGCTCCCTGGCGTGCTCGCCAGGTGGATGGCCACGCGCTCCTCCACGATCGCACGGGTGACCACGCGCCAAGCCGCCGCCGACGGCACAGCTGAACCCTCTGGCTCAACTTCGAGACTAGGCCAAACCGATCTCGTGCCACTCTGCTGTGTTACTGCTCCCGCATTGCCCGCACACACGTTCTGCTAGCTACAGAGTCGGCCTCGCATCCTGAACAATACAGTGGGCGCGAACCGTGGCAACACTTGTTGCTGTGCTTCGTCGGGTCAATAGAGCAATATGTGGGCTGTACTGCACTGCGGGGCTGGGACAATAACAAAAACTATGTGGACTCTGCAAATTCTTCACGTTGGCTTGATATGGCTTGGCAAACACATTGAAAGGGCAAACAAACCATCTGTGCACATGTGCTGAAATGATCTGTCAGCGAGCTGCACTGGAAAACTCAACCAGGACAGCAGTCCCACTAAATTATGAGCTTCATGGCTCACTAGACTGCGAAAAGACGCACCTACGATAAACTCGAGAATGCACAACCTGGGTGATCATGGAAAATGCTTGCAGACGAATTTAAATACGCGGCTCTAAGACCAAACAAGCGAGGAAAGCAAAACGACCAATCCAATGCTCGTGGCAAAATTCTACATGTTTCAAATCGGTAACGACCAGAACTGGAACGAACAAAAATGTTAGAATACCTGTTTTCCTTTTTTTATGGTTCCTCCGTCTCACCTTCGTGTCCTTCTCCTACTCTTCTTCCGCCTCCTGATCTGTTCTTCTCATCTTCGGTCTCTGATCATGACTCCGTCTACTTCCTCTCCATCCTTTCTCCAACCGTTTCTTGGCTCGCTTCGTAATTTCTAAAAACTGCGGAAAATGCGCGCGTGCTTTGCATCCACTTTTGGTGCTTCCCACTCGCGGCGCAATGGGTTCCCCTTTTTTTTCCTATGACAGAGGTTCACGTCCGTACATTTGGCCCCGAAACAAACCAGTAGAAGCAATAGGAAGAACACGATTCCAGCTTAACAATAACGATTCGAAACATCTAGATTTCTGCGACGGGCGTTCCTTACGATGTTCGTCGAGAGTTGTATTACAAATCGAGCTACAAATATGTATTCGGCGAATTTCAATGCAATTGTTTTGTTTTTCTATTTTGGAACTGACCGTTAAGGCATATAGTAATTTCATATTATTTTGAGAACTTCCATAATTACAATTTCCTAACTCAAGTCAGCCGATGAACTTGAGAGGGGCAAATCTAAATTTGTGTGTTTTCGTTGTTCTCTTCTTCGTTGTCTCAATTGTGTTTTCCTCCTTCTGCCTGATTTTCTTGGGCATCATTATCGTGATTCTATCCTTGCCATTTCTTCCTTTTTTTAATTTCTCTTTATGGTTCGTTTTGCTGTTTCTTGTCTTCCCATTTCTTCTCTTAGCTGCCATCCTCCTCTTCTTCACGTCGTTCTCAATGAGAGAGCCTTCGCGCGCGTCTACTGCGAGATTAGTGCGTGCATATTCATTGCTTCTACATGATCCATCGATCTCATCTTTTGCTCTTCATAATCATATTCGCCTCTCTACCCTTCACCTTTTCATTGTTTTTTTTATTTTTTTATTTTTTTTTTATTTTTTTATTTTTTTATTTTTTTTCTTTGTTTATTTCTTTTTATTTTTCCTATTTTTAAATTTTTGGTTATTTTTATTTTTTTTATTTTTTCTATTTTTTTTAATTTTCTTAATTTTTGTTATCAAGCCTCGGGCAGCACGAACCACACCACAAGTCTGCGAGAGTGAAACATTCCGGCCGCGACCATCATCAAGACGGTTGCCAGTTTCTGAGAGAAAGCAAAGGGTGAAAAGCAAGCGGCCGGCGCCAGCTTAAAACCGTCTGCCAAGACGCCACGCCATTGCGAGCACAGGCAACAACTAGTTTTTGCAAGTGAGATTGAAACTGCTTCACACTGTTTTGACCGATTATGCTGTCTGGCAATATGTTGTAGACACGAACGGCACCGAGCGGCGACCGAGAGACGTAGTCCGGAGACGAAGCAGAAATCGGAACCACCAGATGACGAATGCGCCGACGCGAGGAGGCGGAGGCGGAGCGGAGGGAGCGAGGAGGAGGAGGAGGGGAACGAGCAAGACAGAAAAACTGCTGAAACACATTTGGCCCTTGACCCAGCACCGTCCTGTGAATCATCCCAAGGATAGCGATGTCTCGGCGGGTTGCGAGAGGAGCCAGCGAAAACGACAATATAGCGTCAAGCTCTGACATATCCAATGCCATGAGAAAACGCTGTTGCACGCCATCTAGAAGAAGAAGGGAGGAGGAAGAAGCATGAGAGATAGCTGGCGTACGGTACTCCAGATACGATAGAACATGACTTTTGTACAACTGCACAAGCTCTCTTGTTGTGTAGAACTGCCGGCAGGACAAAATTAGAAGAGACCTCCAGCCTCCTTCACACGCACAGTCACTGATCGCATCATGCATTAAAAATTTACTATCAAATAATATACCCAAAATCTTAAAGTTGTTTCCTACTGGAGCACTGTGAGACAGGATGTGGAAGCTCTCTTTTCCTGACTCGAAAGTGACACCGTTCGCCCGGCCCCACTTGTGAAGTTCCTGTTGGCACTCGCCCAGATGAGAAAACAATACATGATCGGGCACTGCATTGTCAAACAGTTCGAATGCATTAAGATCATCTGCGAAAACTACCTCCTGGAATCCACAATTTACAATAGGATCCCGGGCGTCGGAATAGAATTCGTTCCAGAGGCTGGGACCAAAAACGGTTCCCTGGTAAACCATGTTACACATAGAAACACTCTCAGCTCCGTTGCACACAACATATGCTGACCTTGGGGCGAGCCAGTCTGTAAGTACCAACAAGATCTTGGGGTGAATACCTGACGCGGCTAGCTTGTTACGAAGACGCTCCGCCGATACCCTATCAAAGGCACCGACCACGTCAGAACAATAGAGTACCCTCTCCAAAGGCACTGAGCCAGCACATCGTGATCAACAAAATTGCATCACGTGCGCCTCGTCCAGGCGAGTAGGCAAACTGAAATGCACCGAAGGATAAACAGCGATGAAGGGGAGGGAGGAAGATTCTACAGATAAATCGCTCCACTGCTTTGGAGAGCTGGGAGGTCAGCTGCAGACCCCGATAATGATCAGCATTATGTTGCGAATTACGTTTATGGAGCGGGTGGATCCAATGAACATTCCAGAACCGTGGCCAGCGCCCACAGCTGAGGATGAGGCGAGTAAGGAGGACAAAGGGAACGGCCAACTCTTCACAACACAATTTCTAGACAATTGCTATCGAAAAGAAAGTCTTTTTCCCCTCCTCTCCGCTCCTCTTCAGGACCTTGGAGTGGATCCGGCCGGGAAGGCAACCCTATTTGCGCAGAGCTTTCGTTCGAAATGGCACGTTCCTACATTAGAGACGAATTCGTTTTCCCTTTTTCCCTCTCCGCCTCCGTCTTCCTCGTTTCTTCCTCATTCCCCTCTTCGCCTCCGTGTCGCACGCAGGATTTTGAAGGATCTTCGCATCGATAACGGTACGGGCCAAATTTAATTCGAGCTCGAGTCTTGAAAGCTGCCACCAGCCTGTCGATCCTGCCTTCAGCTGCTGAAGTTTGTTGCGTACGATCGATGAAGGCACGATTTGCAGAAAAAAAATGCCGACTACAAGCTCGCACCGCCAATGGAAAATCTGGCGTGCCAGCAGTGTCGCGTCCCGGATGCTGTCCAGACACAAGCCAAGGATGGGAAGAATCCATACGGATTGACGACTGCGGCATGTGAAACTGCATGGCACTGAAAACCTTTTCCGTGACGGCGTGCTGCCGCGTCAGGCGAAGATCCGGGATAAACCAATCAGTATTGCGAAAATCACAACGCATAGCCGACCATCGCGCTTCCCTATACTTCCAAACAGAAGAAACCGAGGGAGGACAAAGAACAAGACGATGGTCGGCAAGCTCTGGCAAGACTGTACTAGAGGCTTGATCTGGAAAGTCGGTGAGAACTAAATCCAATAAATTCGGGCCTCCAGTGGGCTGCCGAACCTTCTCTTTGAAACCGTGCATCGTGCACTAATGCCGCATCGCCGTACCCTCCGGAGTAACTGTCCTGGAAAAGAACCATCCACTGTGGTGTATGTTCAAATCTCCTACCACGACGTGTCTACCGCAAGATTCGAATGCGCCGCCCATGCAGCACTGAACGCATTGATGCTTGCGATTTCGCCGTAGTGAGTGCACGATACCAATAAGCAAGCAAGACTGGACCTAGAAGCGAATGGTATAAAAGCAAATGATCTCAACAAAAGAACGCGAGGGAGAGGAGAGAGTATACTGGTTAAACAATCTTGCACAAAAACAAGAACACCGCCACTATTCCTGTTACGATCACGGCGCTCTAAAACTGTGTGATGCAAAAACGATGGAATGCTGCAAACGTTATCTCGTTTCGTCTCATTTAAAACGAGAACGGCGAAGTATGGTGAGGCTTTGTTTGAAAAAAAACTCTGAACTGCGGGAAATCGATGCGAGAGAGAGGAAACGAAAGAGGCAAGACAGAGGACGAGGGAAAACAACGAGGAAAAAAACTGCCTGTCTGCAAACTCGAAAAAATACCTGGCTTGCAACTGGAGGGTCGATATTCCACCACAAAAAACAGTTGGTTGCGACGCTTTTAGAGCGAACCGGCAAATCTTGGACCACGCCGGCGGAAACGAGCAAATACTGCAATACCCGGAACCGCTCACAATCCGCACAGAAGGGCGTGGGTAGAGAAGAGGAGAGATAGTGAAACAAGTAAGCAGCCCTCCACCACATTCAAAAAAAAATCAAAAAATGCTCTCTGAAAATCAATATTGTACTGCTGAAAGTCTTTCGCTCCAATCTGAACAAAACGGTTCTTAAAATCGGCCT